ATCTGGATTAAAGTTATAAACCCTTTATAATATAGAAGACCGCTAAAAAAAATAAAAAAATAAATTAACAGAGCTGACATTGTTGAAATTTGGGTTCATAATATGGATACACCTCATGATAAGGTGTCATCTTCGGTTGCCATGGATATTGATAGAAAATGAAATAGCCTGCGGTTAATCCAAAAGCATAACCTGTGTTGATTTGAAAAACTCTTAAGTTATAAGGATAAAAACGTAATTTCATTACAAGGGTGACGTGTTCTTGAACAGATAAGATCATGGGCTCATGGCCTCCTTAACCCTAATGTTGCCTCCACATATGGATTCCTAGCGTTTCTTTCGTGTTCTTGAATTGCCCATTTGCTTGGATAGATTATTCTAGGGATATAATCCTCTATTTTGTAAACCACGAGGACCGGGTGTGTAAATGAATCCAAACTTGGGACCAGAATATTAAAAAAAAATAAAAGGACCAATCAGATTGAAGGAAACACGTCAGGCACCAATAGACTAACCGTAAGAAAACCTACCGGAGAAACCATTACCAGTAGAGAGAGCTCGAACTACGGCCACAGTTTTAGATACAAATTTTGCATATCTATAACTAAAACATAATGATTTGGAGGAAAATCTTGTTCACCTGCTTCTTTATTATGCACATAATCATCTCCATCGCGATCCCAGAATCTTCGGATGCATCTCAGGTTTATACATATCTATCTTTGTAACTTTATTCAAATTCAAATTTCACGTTGCTGAAAATCGAAAATAAATGAAATGTCAGGTGAGATGCAGCAAGCGATGCGTGGCAGAAAACTGTAACTGTAATGCTCTATCTGATTTTTTTTCCCCAACATTTTTAGAAGTTATTCGATTTAATTGATTTGGTTTGGGGTTTGTTGATTGGCATTGCGATCAGCGATTGGGATTAGATACGGGAAGTACTGTGGCGTTGGATGGACTGGATGTCCAGGTGAAAGGCCGTGCGATGATCTTGATGCGTGTTGTCAGATTCATGATGAATGCGTCGAGAAAAGAGGTATTGTTTGAGAATTCGATAGAATTCATTGCCTGTTTGGTGTGCACTTTTATCCTCTAATCTCTTCTATCTCTACCAATCTTTGATCATTTAAGTTTTGATGATGATTTGGTGATATAAATATGATATAGTTTGAATTGAGCTTTGAGCCCTAACAAATATAGTTGACATGAGTGAGTAATCTGTGTATGGTAGGAATGACGAATGTGAAATGTCACGAGAAATTCAAGCGGTGCATAAAGAAAGTTCAGAAATCGGGAAAGGCTGGGTTTTCTAGAGATTGTCCTGTTGACACTGCAGTGCCTACAATGCAACAGGGTATGGACATGGCCATTTTATTTAGTCAGTTTGGTAACTCTAAGCTTGAACTCTAATTCACAAGTGTGTATTGCTTTTGCTGCTTAAGATTAGACTTCAAATTCTTATACAGTTCATACAAATTCATTTTTTTGTAAGTTACCTCACATATTAAGATTTATACCAGAAAGTATGACAGCTAACATTGACCTTCATCATTGTTAGTTGTTTGTGTTTTGGTGATTCAGAAAGTTGGGTAGCTGTTAACTTTAACCGAGTGTTTGGAAAATCATAGTTGATTACCAGAAAGGGAGTTATTATGAAATTGGAGTAAAAGTATCTCAAATTTGGTTAGATAGGTGTTTATAACTTGTAAGTAACCTATTTACATATTGTCCATTAATGATGAATGTTATTGCGAGTAAAAGAGATAAACTATGTTCATGTTGATTACCAGAAAGGGAGGTATTATGTTTCTAAACTTTCTATTGAAAATTAAAAATAAAAACTCTACTCATTTTTTATAAAGCTTTTCTAAAAAAATGAGAACGAATTTTCTATGCCAAACGGGCACTAAGATATTCATTCATGTAAGTTATTCTTTATATTATCTTATATCTTATATAAGATATAAGATTTATCCATTTTGTTGGTACTATTCTTAGTGTCTAATCGTATCAATAATGTTTTCTTGATTTGTAGAATTACAAAAATAATTCATGTGTAATAGTAAAATTACATAAATTGTTATAATGTAATAGCAGGAAATAAAAATTATAGAAATTATCCCTATTTAATATTAAATTTACAGAAATGGAGCCTCTGTGGTAGTGTAAAAAATTAAAGAAATTATCCATGTGTAATATTAAAACTATAGAATGGTCATCGTGTCCTCAAAATACGTACAATTGTAAAATGATCTTTTTGTGATAGTAAGAAATATAAAAATTACAAAAATAGACCCTGTATAATAGTAAAATAATAACATTTGTATTATTTTATGGGTTGAGAATGCTAACCGATTGGTAAAATAGCATTTTACACATATCTAATTGATAAATTATGATCGCAATGTGATTGCTTTGTTCATAACATTTCACATATGTGTGGGTACACTATAAGTCTATAACCATCCAACACATACTTTAACTCGTGCATCACTTATTTAAGAGTTAAGACCATATTTATGGGTTGAGAAATGCTAACCGATTGGTAAAATAAATCAATTAAAAAGTAAAAAAGTAACACAACCAGTTGAGACGACTGGTCCAGAGTAGAGACAACCTCTATGATATTTTTATATTTTATTTTATTTTTCTTTTCAAATTAACAATAGTTTAATTGATAATGTATTTATTGAAAAATTACAAAAATATATAAAAAATCATGGTTTTTTAATTCCTTATAAATAAAGTGTAATATGGATATATTTTTCATGAATATCTTGAAACTCTCTTATAAAATATATTTTTGTTATGTTATGATGTTAATAAAAGATAAAAAGTTAACTTTAGTTGGTTGTCTATATAAATGAAAATATAGATATTTTTCAATATAAAAATAGTTTATGAGCGGTTTTTGAAAAGAATTACCACCAACCTATTGTAGTAGGCTCCTATGTCAAAGCCGTGTATGACTAATGACCTTTCCATTTGGGCTTAAAACCCCATCCACAACACCAACATGGCATATTGGCATGGACGGATGGAAGTTGACAAGTCACGTGACTATCGCAAGAAAAACTGCTGTTGTAAATTAATGTAGTTTCTTTGACTATGAAAAATAAACTTTTTAGTTTGGTTTGACATTGACTACAGATATCTACTTTCCTTCTAGAAAAAAGTTCAATTCAAAACTACTGGAATTGAAATTAATTATAAGCTTATTTTCATTTATATAACCTTTAGTAAGGTTGTTTTAATTTTTAAAACTTTAACTAAATTCTTTTATATTTATTTTACAAGGTCAATAAAATTGCTTTTTATTATAGTTTATACATTACAAGATATTTTAAATTTAATTAGAAAAATGAATCCCTCTTTTGAAATGATTTTATTTGGGACTAACATAATATACAAAGTTTAATTTATTTATTAGGAAAGTTCTATATATAACATATTAAACATCAAAATATCATGAGTTAACTTCTAGACATCATTTTTAGTTTTTATAAACTTTTAAAATTTCATATTTATCATTTTTTTATATGTTAAACATATTATAATAATTTTAAATCCTTATATTTATGAGTTGACTATTATAAACGTTTTATAAATATAATCTTAAAGTATTATATATTATATATATATATATATATATATATATATATATATATATAACTTCAAAAGATCATATCACCTAAATTATTTATTTTGATCAGTTATAATAAGTTAAAACTATAATTAACTAAATAATTAATTTATATTGAAGTTATTTCACACTCTCATCGTTTCTATTTTCATCGTTGCCTTTTTTAAGCTTCAAAGGTGACACGGTCACCTATTAGGCTATTACCTATAGCTGCATATCATATCAAGAACAAAAAATATTTTATTATCACTGTTCTTCAAATTCATAATTTATTTACTGTATTCACCCCAGTAACACTAATGATTTAATAAAAAATCTACAAATAAGTTATAGTTTATATCTAATTCAAGTAGGTAATCTATTGAGTTGCATGGGAGAGAATTAGTAATAATTAATATGATTGTATTAATATCAAGGTTAGGTGCATGAGATAGAGCAAATAAGAAGTCCTTCGTCTCTCTCCCTTTGTTCCCTCTTAATTATCATTTTCGATTATACCCCCACCATCTTCTTTTCCCAATAATCCAGTAGAAAGTGACATATTACGATGTTGAGTTCCGTTGTTCAGTAGGGAAGGGGAGTGATGCATGGATGAGAGATGTGAGAGAGATTATAGGACATGAGTGTATCTTAGCCTCTTCGAGATTTTTTTAATACTATTAAGACAAAATTGCAAAAATGGTTCCTGTGGTATGCATTTTTTTGGGGTTTTCGTCCAAACCTCGATGTTTTTGGCTTCATGGTCCTTTTGGTCATGTTTCTATGTGGAAATGGTCAATGTTAAACTTAAAATTACTAATATGCCCTTTTAATTTGTTTTTCTCATTTCTTAAACAATTTATCCTTTATTTTAATATTAATGTAATGAAAAATAAAGTAGGGCCCATCCCACCCCATCTCTCTCTCTCTCTCTCTCTCTCTCTCTCTCTAAAATGCACGATCTATGCTCATTCTCCCGATGACGTTCTTCTCCAATACTTCCCCTCATCGATCTTCTTCTCCAACGCAGCGTGGATCCTTCATCGATTCAGTTTTTCGCTAAAATCTCTCCAACGAAGTCAAGAAACACAAGAAAAACCCCAAATTTAAACCCAGGAACCCCAAGAAGGTCGGCAGTTTCTTCGGCACTGAATGGACGGTGAAACCTCTTCCCGAATCCCCTCAATTAACTCAATCTGGATGGTCGGAATTGAAGCTAAAACCTAACCCACAACAAACAACTCTTTTACTAACACCGGAAGAACTAGAAAACCACAACTGGAACCAGGTCCAGCAAAGGGCATTGAAGGCTGCGAAATAATTTTATTCCAAAAATAGCGGTAGCGATGATGAAGAAAGCGATGAAGACGACGATATGGATGAAGAAGACGGTGATGTTAGTGAGAAAGAGTACGATTTCTTTTGGAAAATGTTTATCGACGATGAAGAATTGAAGAGTTATTATGTAAAGCATTGTGGTGATGGAGGTGAGTTTTCGTGTCTGGTCTGTGGCACAGTGAAAGAGAAGCATCTGAAGAGGTTGAAAAAGTTTAAAGAATGTGTTGCTCTAGCTCACCATTCGATTTCCATTGCAAAAACGAAGAAGATTAGATCACACAAAGCTTATGGCTGAGTTATCTGTAAAGTTCTTGGGTGGGATATCGATAGGCTTCCTTCTCAAACTGTTACAGAGCATAAGTGTAGTGAATTACAGGTATCCTATTACTGAAACTTTATTGAATTTGATTAAAAAGTTCATAATTTCTTGTATTTGCATGGAAATGATGTTAATGGTGGTTGTAATTCGGGTTTTAACAAGATTATGGATGATAGGTCGTTGAATCCTGATAAAAAAGCTCATGTTTCAAAAACATGAATCTATGGTTTGTGATGGGTCTCTAGCAAAAGCAAACGTAGGAGAAGAAGATACAAGATTATTTTTTGCCAGAGAGAGAGAGAGAGGTGGTCCTATATTATTTGTTAATTGTTCAAATAAATAAATAAATATTAAATTTTTTAAAAAAATGAAAGAAAAATGAAAAATAAATACTCCAAGGGTATTATAGTCATTTCAATTTTTTGAAGAGATTATTTTCACATACAAACTAGTCCAAAAGGACCACAAAGCCAAAAAAATCGTGGTTTAGACTAAAACCCCAAAAAAATGCATACTACAGGGACCATTTTTGCAGTTTTGTCTACTATTAAAATAGTAACAATATTTAATAATTATTTACATTTAAAATGATCATTTTTAGCACACTTTACATACTCAATAAATTACAACAAAACAGATATTAAAGTTATTTATCTAAACCACAATCAAACTATGTCAAAAATATTATATTTTCAAGTTAACACTTTTTCGAATTCCAATAAAAAAAATACAAACCATAAAGACTATTTTTGTAGTTTTCTGCCATTTTATTGTTGGCTTCTGTTGGCTTCTTACCAAACGGGTTTAACATTCTACAAAAGAAAAGTTGACGAAATTTAAAAATGTCATATAAAAGGAAAAACATAATGGTGTATCGGTGTTACATAACTACCGATATTATAAAAAAAAACTTATTAATGTGTGTATGGTTGTAAACGACCGAACATTTAGTGAATCATTTGATGAAAAGTTCATTATGTTTGTTTTATCTAATAAATAAATGAAAATGAACAAATTTATTCATTCAATTAGTTATAAAAACAGCTACGAATAATGGTATTGTTATTCATTTATGTTAATGAACGTTTTTTATATTCGCTTATATTTGTTATTTACATTTGTTTATCATATTATATTATATAACATGTGAGAGTGAAGGAAAAACTTACTAGAGTGATTTGAGTTCTATAATTTTTAGTTGTCCTAAATATAAAATGTGGCACTTGTAATTATGATCAAAATATCAGAAGTGTTTGTTATGATGCAAAATTATTCATGGATGATGACAAATAAAATATTTGAAAAGACTCGATTGAATATGTGGGTTTTTAGCTTATACCTTAAGAGAAAGAAACTTGTATATGCACATATATAAATAGTGATTGTCATATGTATTGTAGAGTGTGATCCAGAGATATAATAAAAAAGAGTTGTGAGTAGAGTTATTTATTTAGAACTAGATTTAGATCATACTTTTTGTAACTCATCACTATGATCGATAATGTCTTTTAGCATCCAAATCATCGTGTCAATTGTGTTCTAATTATTCCTCATGTCAAATCAAGCTCTCATGTCCTAACAATGTTGATGATAAACTTTTATGGTTCTTGATTTGGATGTTTATGTTCATTTACATTTGTTCGTTTAGGTTTTCACTAAGTTTGTTCGTTTATGAGTGTTTATGTTTCATCTTAACGAACATAAATGAACGAAAACATGAACAATGTAATTTATTAAACAAACAAAAACTAACAAAAAAAATTGTTTGTTTATTCATTTGTTCAGTTAACTTAAACGAACAAACGAAAACATGCATTTAGTCGTATTTGTTTGGTTATTTACAGCTCTAAACGTGTGCATGTTATTATTCGACTGTTCTAGATACGCTTCTAACAATAAATCTTTACTCCTTGTTTTAAATTTGGTAAATACCACAAAAGTCACTAAATTTACATGAAAAAAGTAGATTTTGACATTGCATTATTTTTTGTCTCAAGTTGGACATTGCGTTTCTATTTTTATAATTTTGACCACTTAATCGGTCAACATGGTTGTATGTTGATATGACATGATGACGTGAATATTTTGATGATGTAACATGCTGACATGTCAAGATTGAAAAATAAAATTACACACAATACAATAAGTTTCACTTTTTTTCAAATTTGGCATTATGTTTTATTTATTTTTATTTTTTTTCAATTTTGACACTCTATTTTTTTTTGTTTCATATCGAACAATTTTTTTTTTCAATTTTGTTTATTGTTGACTATTTTTCATTGAAACAGTATACATATTTTTTTTAACATTTGAAACCATATAAATATATTTTTTTCAAAAATCATATTTTTTTTTATATAAATACAAGGTTTTTTACATTCAAACCATAAGGGTATGTACTATAAATATATATTAGTTATATTATAACTGTACTTTTCATTGAATACGCAACTTTAAATGAGTTTGGATGTGTGTAATGCACACTCAGGTAAGCTAATATGATCTCAGGAACACGAAGGTCTGGGGCCGCTTTAATTACCAAGGGATTGTTCGTTGTATGTATATTTATGATTTTTGGTTCTTGCAGATATACTTATTGATTCGTTAGAAAAAATTATAATATACTAATAATGCATGAAAAATACAGTTATAAAATAATACAATTATAATTTTGTTAATACATATTTAGTTTGTTATTTATGAAACTGATGTATTTTATTAGAATTCGTCCATTTTGTAACGTCTCAATTTCACAACAAAAATTTCCATTTTTAATTCAGGTAAAACTTTTCATCCAAGTTAAGAAAATCATTTGCTCCAAGGTACATTTGCTTTAAAATCAAAGTAATAAAATAAACGCGAAATCTCCATTGTTGCTGATGAATCTGTACAGTCACGCCTTCGTCTTCCCACGATCATCACTGGTACCTGAAAAACATTTAATCCACAACTATAAGCGAAAGCTTAGTGAGTTTCCCTCAAAATACCACGTATAACATATATAACAACATATAACTATGTTGGGCCCGTAACAACCACGGGTTTGAATCAACCCCGAGTCCGTATCAACTCCGAGCCTAGATCGGCTCCATCGGGTCCGTCTCAACCTCGAGCCCATATTGATTTTGAGCCTAGATCGGTTCCATGCATACAACATATAAGCACATCATAAAAAGTCACAAAGACAAAATTCACAATTGACACATGGTGTCCTACAATATAGTGAAAAGACTCACTACTGGATACTAGGCCTCTCCCAGCACACTATGCCACTACCGACAAATCCCCAAGGCATGCATAACCATATGTAACCAGAAGTGATATAGACACCCGAACCGATGATCATACTCTAAAGCCACAACCAAACAAGGAACATGCAAGAAAACCTAGATCAATAGTTCTCAGGTTATCCTACATGGCTACATACAACCCCTAGAGCACTCCACTAAACGATAACCAACCTACTGATACTCTAACCATCATACGACTACTCTTATATATTATCAAACAATGATATATATATATATATATATATATATATATATATATATATATATATATATATATATATATATATCAGATCACTACCGCATAACAACATCCTATATACAAGGATACATAACAAATCTAGTGGGCCGACATTGGTGCCTTCGAACCACGGGTACAGTGACGAAATTCACCTGAATTGGAAACCCATGAACACTGCGATACACTCATTTTATTCACTGATTGCTCCCGCGAACCTACTAACACCAAAAACCAGGTATAACCTTAATCAACGACCCAAATTCTTCAAGTTTTGACCCTAAGTCAAACTGGTCAAAACGTCAACGATCTACTTGGTCAAAGTCAACGTCACGTTGTGGGCCCTCCTTGCCACGTCGTGGGAACGCAAGGTTAAATAGTCAACATGCAGGACATTGCCACGTCGTGGGAACGCAAGGTCAAATAGTCAACATGCAGGACATTGTCACGTCGTGGGAACGCAAGGTCAAATAGTCAACATGTAGGACATTGCCACATCGTGGGCCCTCCTTGGCCACGTCGTGGCAATGCCAGGATAAGACAGTCGTGATTCTAAACTTCGCCACGTCGTGGCTACCTATTGCCACGCCGTGACTACTGGCAGAATGCCATTTCTCCCATTAAGAGCTTAATCCTTACAAATCAAAGCTCATACTTCCAGATCTACTCTTCCACACTGACTTAATGGATAAAGTTTCCAACTTTATACATTAGGACTCCATACTAAGGCTAGATCTAGCATTCTAAGTCCATTAAGTTCTTAATGAGGCTATAAATTGAACATGGACACAAAACACACCAAACATGGTCCTTTTTATCAATCAACATAAGTTCAAGGACATAGGAAAGCCACCACAAGTTCTGAAGTTCTTCAAACTCCAAGAACATCCATGAAAGGGACCAAAATCACCCAAAATGGCCTAGAACTTGAATATAGAAAAAAGGTGTCAATGTATGAACTTTATATATTCAACAAGTTAGAAAGTTGAAGAGAATGTTGGATCCAAACTTGCTTATTGTTTCCTTTCTTCCTTGTGAACTTCCCTCTCCCAAAGCTCACAAAAAACCCAAGAACAAGACTCAAAATCAAGGAAATGGATTCTCAATCATGCATGGAGGCTAGGGTTTCGAGATGGGGATGTGGAGGTTAAGGAAGATGGCCTAGAATGAGAGTTAAGGTGTTTATATATGAGGGAAACCCTAAAAATCTCGGGTTTGAGTTGTAGTGGCTGCCACGACGTGGCCATCTCCATACCACATCGTGGTATTTCCAAAACACGCGCTTCATTTAATCTCATGCCACGCCGTGGGCATCCATGCCCCATGTTGTGGTAGAGGGTTTTCTCTAAAAATCCTATTTTTTGATTCCTTGCAGATAATCCTATTTAATCTCATGCCACGCCGTGGGCATCCATGCCACATTCATTGCAGATAATCCAATTAAGATACAC